CTACCAGGATCACTGGTTGAAAAGTATTCACCCTTAAAGAGCTTTGAAATCAAAGTAAGTACCATAAGGGGCCATAGGAAAACCACCGAATCTAGTCTTTCATCCTGATAGGAACAAGTAATACATGATCTTGACTTTCAGTACATTGTAGTCTGACCATGACCAAAGTGTAATCTTTACTGGCTTTGTCAAAAAAATCTTGGCCAAATATAAGATCCAGATTATGTTATTACAGAATGCAGAGCACCAGAAATCAACAGGGATAGGCCCTGGCTGCTCTGAGATCACAAGTTAATTCTGATGAAACATTGTTCACAAGGACATCAGAGTCACATAAGAAAATAAGGCTAGCTCAGTGCTGTAGAGGTCAAAATCATGACCAGATCTCATGGAGTTCTGCAGTGACCTGAACTCTACTAATCACATGTAATATTCATCTTGGAACTCTCAAACCAGGTGAGTACATTCAAATTAATACCTGATTTTAAAATGAAATACCTTCTGATGCTAAAGGCAGCTGCAAGTAACATAGGCACAGCACCTGCCTAATCCTCTATGGGTTGCAGCTGCCAGAAAAGAGCTGATTTAACACTGGGCAAGTTTGGTTATACCTACCAGGTCAGGGCCTCTTTGAAGACTGAACCATCGGTAGAAACATCTTTATGAGCTACAGCTTGCATTAAACAGTATGAATTAATACTGGGACCCTTACTGCTGATACCCTCTGCTCCAAAGATTAAACCAATGGTGTTAAATTGTCTAATCAAAGCCGTATGTCTGATGCATGCCCTGCCTAGGCTCCACAAAGCTCAAACCACAGAAACCAGAGAACCAAAGATTCCAAAAATAATCTTCCTTCCAGACTTCTGCATCTCCAATATAAACCTGTGTTTCAATCTTGTAACCACCAACTGCCAGTTATCCAAGCGGTGCAGTTACTGCTGCTGAGTCCCAGGTAGAGTTGTGTAGAGTAGAGTGCAAGATTGACTTCCTAACTGATTGTCACCTCTTCCTCACAATCCAATCAAACTCAGATAAGTGGAAAAGCAAAAACGTCTCCAAACAACCCCCAATCCCTTCAACCATGTCATCCAATTTAGTTCTTCTACTTCCTATCACCCTGTCATTAAAACCACTCATTACCAGACAATTTGAAAATTATGAATTAATCAAGGTGAACTAATAAAATCTGGTCCGGGACAACTCTTCATCATTTATATGACATGCACAGATGGATATTTCAGATCAATTAGCCAGGTAATAATAAGAATAAGTACTTACATCATACCTTGCATCAGAGTACCTCAGAAAGAAAATTTAATTAAGCTGCCGAATGATCATTTGAAGTATTATCATCTCAGTTTTATGTCGGGGAAAAAAATGACAAATAGTGGCTACCAGACAAAAGTTTGTTTTCATAAACATATAACAGGTTTCAGTGCTTTAACTTATGTTGGTATTAACTCATTTTTTTTTCTAAAAAATAATGCCATAGAAATTGTTGTATATATAGAAATATATAATGCATATGTGTATAACAGTGAGTGTTACATATCTGTACCTATCTAAATCAATCATATAATCTAATGTACTAATATTAATAAGTGGTTGTGTCACATGACAGGGTTAGTTTAATAAAATAATATTGTAAAGGATTTTTTTCCCTATAGCCACACACAGGTGTTTAATTGCACACATTGTTTAATGAGTAAGTTAAGCCACTCAGATGTTGTTTTGTAAAAACTAAAATCTTAGTTTCACTTTTAAGTCATTGTTCAATTAATGTATCACAGAGCTTATGTTGAACTAGGACAACCCCCCATTTGTGTGCTTTTAGAAATGCTTAGGGGAATAACCTTGGGTGGGCTTTTTAAAAGCACTTTGTGTTGGTCTATCTCTGCTTCCAATGAAATCAATGGGAGTTTTACCATTAATTTAATTGGGTGTAGAGTGAGACCAACCCTGAGTACTTTTGAAAATTCCACTCAGAAAAGTCTCCCTCCACCCCCATTTGTTGGCTGGATTTTCTCATGGATTGCAGCACATCTACCATGTTTCTGGAAATAGTCTCCTGTTTTAATTTACCAGTCTATGTACAAAAAAAGTTTTAATTAATTAGGAACATGTGTATTAAAAAAATCCTCAAATGATGGAAGAGATATTGACCTGATTCCTTGGCATACAGGAGAAGTAGTTTAAAAGATTTTGTTTTCTTATATATTAGATCATAATATCATGAGACAGACTAACGAGCAATTGCAGTTAAAATATTTGTAAGAGGAAATATAATGAATTTGGAAATTAAATAAGAATGTCAATGTTCACACACCAAGCAAGCACAATTCTAGCAATTTATTTTATATTGTTGTTGAAAATGAGGGCCATAGTTTTTGTAAGTGAGTTAACAAGACCAAGCTTCTGAACAGCAGTTTTGGTTTTCCTTGTTGTGAAAGGCAAGCTGATGTCTAATCTCATTAACAGATGGCACACATGGTCATTATACTGGCCTAAGGCACACATTAGGGCTATTATACTGACCATGTGCCCACTTCTCAACTTCTCGCTCACAGTAGTCTTAAATGCTGAGGTATACTTGAATAAAGAGTTCAGGATTAGATTCTATGTTGGCAAGACATAATACCATTTTTGTGACCATGTTCAACCAGTTCTCTTATGTAAAAATATGAAAACTACACTGGGTGAAGAAAGAAAATTCTGAGGAATATCAATGCTATTTTGAATATATGGTTCTAGTCTGTGGTTAACTCCAGAATAAAAGATGTTCCTCGCTCAAGAAAAAAGACCACTGGCAGTCACAACCCCTGTCGTGTTTGGGTGTGGCTGGTGGAAAGGGGAGCACAACCCTCCGTGGATCTACAAATCCAAAGAGGAATGAGTATATAAGCAAATGTGTGAAATTAGGAGCACATATTGGAGCACAAGGAAAATAGCTAAGAGCTTGCACACGACACCCAGCAGCACAAGTAACAGATTGTCATGTATTGTGCTCAAGCACTTATATCTGCATCATTTACTGGTTCCTAAAACAAAACACCCTTTACACTGCCTGACGCACACAGATATCCAGGCAGGTAAAGAATAAACTGGTAACTGCCATAGGCCCCGACCTCTTACTCCTCTCTAGTTTTCTCCCATATTCAGTGGGCTGCTAATGTGGGTTTACAGATGAAAAGCAATTTTATTTAGACACACATATACAGCAATCAAAAATATGTTTTTATTTTTACAGCAATATAAAATATTTAGTTAATAAAACCTATGTTTGTTATAATAAAAATAAGCCATATGAACAAACAAACAACACAACAAAAAATATTGCCGCGCATGAGATGTCATAACAGGGTCCAGAAAAAAATATCAGATTACACTGTAAACAGCATATGTCACATTGTGCAATATAAATCTCAGATAGAGAATGACCTCTGAACCTTTTACTCTCAGAGCAAAATGCAAAACCCACTTCTTCTACCAAGCTTACCCACAATAACCGCAAAAATAAATACAAGTGCACAAAGATGACCAGAGACGGGTACTTCTTTCTTTGCTAGAACACGCTAGCACTCAGAGACCATGGAGATAAGAACCTCGCTAGACTGGGGGAGGGGCAGAAATGTAACATATTTATCTACTGTGCTTCAGGGAGCTGCCTCAGGTTCAAGAATGCTGTTCTTAATTCTGAAAGAAAAAGAGTGCCCTAGTTAATATAATATGTACACAATACTCAAGTCAGATGTCTCATAGAAATGTAAAGGAACTTACTCAGACTTACAGAGCAGCCAACCCCCAGTACCCATGGCCTCATAGTACCACTGGCTTAGTGGTAGTTGTGTGTGAGGAGTGCAAAGCTATTTAGCCAGGAATCTATCCCCAACTAAATGCTGACAGAAACTGGACCCGTTGTTGTTACTGTTTATATGACTAATTGGTATGGTTCATTTGGTCCCTGAAAGGAAACAAAAGAGAGAGAGTGTGATAGTCAAAGAGAAGAACAGGGCCCAGGACTGCAGCCATACCCAGGTATCTCCCAGTGAAGGCAATGGGACTTTGATCACTGGGTTCATAGCCTGCACTCTGGTCAAAAAGAAACAAATTAACAACCCAAACCATATTTTAAAATAAGTGACTTACCATCCTTTTTTATATCACTCAGGAGGTCTTGGCAACGTCTTGGTACAAGCCAGGTTTCAGACAGTGAGCTGCTGAGATGGCCTTGTATGGCTGAGGTATGTCTATTTCTGCTCTTGTCGAGCACCAGGACTGCAAAGATGAACGCCCACAGGACAGAAGTGCCTGCTAAACTTAGATACAAGAATTTCCTATACCAAAACACTATAAGTATCAGCCTTCAGCATGGGCTGTGCCTGCTACCGAAGTCACCTCTCAGCTCTGTCAAGTGCAAAATGCTTCATCAAATAGGACCATGAACAGGGAGACCTGTAGTGACCTTAGAGGGAGGATGCTGTATTAGGATATGCAGAGCAGCCCTCAAACACTTGTTGGGGATTGCAGTGGCTGAGTGAATAGCAACCTCCTAGTACAGATTTAGATACCTGTATTTGACATGATACCAAACACCCTTCATGACTGGGATGTTCTTAACTTCTCCTGCTGTGGTACTCCAGCCACCATTAGTTCTCTCCTTCTCCTCAGGGTGCTGTACTTGAGAGGGGCTATGTCAACAGAGCAGAAAGGGATATCCTTCGGTGTACATGGCTGAACAGTGATTTCCATCACTGAGTCCTTTTCTTCCATTGTCTTACCTTCTAAATGTTATAAATGGTAATCGCATTGGAGTGAAGTGGCATCTGTTACATTCTAGTGACCACAGGTATTGCAAAACAATGTCATCAATCGTAAACACCAGAACTGACAAGGAACCACAACACAGAGTCATTACCCACTGGAGCATCTTTACTGCTGATATTGGACAATAAATAATAATAATAATATACTATACAGCAAATTCCAAAGTTGTAAACTGAGGCATGCCTTTCCAATATGTTCCAATGGAACTGTCCAGTTTCATGACCCCATACACAGTAAAGGCAAACACCATGTTGGGCAGATGTGTAGTATCTGAAAGAATGGATTTTTATTGGAGGGAGTAAGTGACTTTCTATTTGGCCAGTGATGGTGTCACAAAAGTTTTCAGGCAATTGTTCCTATGGGCACATTTTCAGGTGAAGGCAACTCCTTATTTTGGGGGGAGTTTGCCTTTAAAAATAAACTGGGGACACCGGTGTATATGCAGAATCTAGCCTCTAGGTAAATGTCAGGAGAAGTAATTTCACATTTTTGCCAATACAGTTCAAAAGGTGTGTGGTAGCTTCTTGGTCTGTGTGCAAGAGATATTCACTTGATTATGTCCCACTTGGGAACCAATCAGATGTCTAATAGCCATCTACTTTACCTTTACTTTGTAATACAGTATAAAATTCTGAAGTAAGACTAAAATCAAACATATGATAGAGCGACTCTTGTTACACATTTATCTCAATTAAGCCGCATTCAGAACATTCTCATGGTAATGCCATTTACAAACATTGCTTATAACTCTTCATAGTTCTTCTGAACAGTCTGTACTGCATGTAATGTAAAAAGAATCGTGAAAACATCATTTCCAGTCTCATAGTGGTAAATAATTACTTAAGAGGCAGATGGAGTGTGTTGGAGACGTATAAACCAATAAGGCAGTCCCTTTTCACAGTTAGAATGAAACATGCGTTGTGAAATGTGCAGACATATTATTAATCTATTTCATTGCTTTCTCTTCTCTTTCCCCAAGTAAAAGGCAACATTAAAAAAAATTCACATCACTAAAAATCGTCACCATAAATGACAACCTCATTGGTTGTTTCAAGGAGGTTCTACAGATCAGACTAAGATACACTGGCAAGGGGCAGTGAATATGGAAATATACTTTAAGGCCACTGTATACTGCCAGAGTGGTATAAAGCAGCCTTATCATAAATGAGAATCAGGCCCTTTGTGTTTTCACCAACACAATGAATTCATGGCAAATAGGGATTCTTAATTTTTGGACAGCATTCACTAGCAGTGAATAAAGGCACTTAAAAAGCTAAAAAAAACATGCTTGAAAATATAATCTGTGTAATATTTCTCCCAGCTAATTACACACCCTTCTCTTTATAAAGATTCTCTTGGAATCCGGCATGTTTACTTGTGTTGTGTATTGTTACAGAAGCATCAGTCTTTGTATTTAGTCTTGTTATGATACAAGCTGAATATGAGACATGAATATGAATTATGAAACAGTTCAACATTTTATAATCCAAGGCTTTGATAGGACTAAAATAATGAACTTTTGATATATAAACAAATATCAACATTTCAAATTAGAATCAATGCTTTGCCCATGTCAAATTTACATATGCAATATGTGCTTTAAATTTTCCTAAAGCTGGTAGAATTCATAGAATTGGAAGGAGGTCATCTAGTCCAACCCACTGCTCAAAGCATGACCAATCCCCAGACAGATTTTTGCCCCAGATCCCTAAATGGATTGAACTCACAACCCTGGGTTTATCAGGCCAATGCTCAAACCACTGAGCTAGCCCTGCCCCCTGAAAGTAGTTTTTCACCCCAGCTGGGACATGAACCCACAATCTCTGGTTTAGGAAGCCAATGCCTTATCCATAAGGCCACTGGGCCATCTAAAGCATTTATATTACAATTCGCATGCCAATATGCTCTAGCAAACTTGCAACGGCATTTTCACACATCGATTACAGTAGCTTTAGATTGATAGGAGATGACAACTGCATCCCCTAGCATTGCTAAAAGTTAGATAAAGGCATAACTGAACTCTCTTTAAATGAACTACTGCTATCATAAGGCAATACTAACTTTCAACTCTATATTCTATAGATGTAAGGCACAGGAAAACAGGACTACTTCCAACAACAGAAAGTAGCTATATTTTCTCATACAGATGGATTTTAAACAGGCTGAATTACCAGTATGAAGCAGTACAAAACAACATGACCAAAATGAATAAAAATAATTTCAGTTCACAGTGTGTTCATCATCAGAAAGCTGCCATTCAGTGACTTGATCTCAAAGGGATGCTAAAGTATCAGAATGGTTAATTTTATACTTGCTCTGCTATTCAAAATCTTCACACTGATTGCAATGATTGAGCTAATCGAGGTTTACCCAGGCTTGTCATTGTCTACACTTAGTGGTCAGGACTGCTGTAGCTGCATCAACTGCTATCCATCATCAGTTGCTGAATCCAGGCTATTCCCAACCATTGGCAGAGCCAGAGACACATTTAAACTCTTACAGTCCTGACTACAAATCCTGAGCTCTGACCACAAATTTTAATATAGAACTGTGTTTCTTTAAATTTCTAACATTGTAAGTTGGGGGAAAAATACCAACACTTTTTTTCTAGTCCTTGTGAAATATTGATCGGCCCCAGACAATAAAGTCCTCTGCATATCCACAGCAGAGATCCATAACTGACAATGGCAATTTAAGGGTTAGTCCACCAATATGTCTTCTCCACCCTCTCTTGGGGGCGGGGGGTGGGATGGGGTGGGGTAGGAAGGAAATAGCCTCAAGGAGCAAGATGGTAGTGTGGTCTTCATGGCCATTTAAATTACTTGTTTCTAAGGGTCTGAGTGTATTTCAGAACGTCTTACGTATTATCAAAAAATTCTGTTCTAAACACTAACAAAAAAAATCACAGTCCAAGTATACTCAAAATATACTGTTTTATCCAAGCTAGAGAACTATTACATATTTAAAACTTACCCTTCATTCATGCAAAGTTGTATATTTTTACTATCATTTAATTTACTATTTTGTATAGTTTTCCTTCTCCATATACTATAAATTTCAAAGTCAAACAAAACTATCATAATTTACATGCTTTGCCAAAGAAAGACGATAGGTTATTTGTATCATGCCTTTCCAGGCAGTTTAACAAAATGTGGGGTTACAGTAGGCAAAACAGTTGCAATTATACTTTGAATGTATAATCTACATGCAGAAACATTATTAAGCTAAAGGGCTACATCAGCTGATTTTCTCTAACAGAACCCTTATGGGAGGTTGGCAATGCAAACAACACCTTGTGCTTCCTGAAAGCTGAATTCAAATGCGTATCGATAATTAGCAAAACTTAGAAAGGAAACAAGACATATTTATAAGCTAAAAATGACCAGGTAACTTTCTGTTTAAACAGTAAAATACCTACAGAAATATCACATATTGGACTACTAACAGTGATTCCCGAGTCTCATCTGACACCTACAACACAGCTGGACCATGCTGGTGACCTGCAGTGCAACTGCAACACCACTTTACAAAGTTTGCTACTTTTCCCCCCTGAGCCCCAGACTAACTTTTGTATGAAGCCAGATTATCCAGGAAGTAGTTTGTTTTAGCTCAGATATGTTGTTCAACTGTTTTAATGATATATACCAGCTCTTGGTAATTGTAAGAACAATTAGAGGGATCAAACATAAAAGAGGTTAGGAAATCACATTCCAGAAAATTTCTTCCTTTTCTGGAAACAACCTCTCAGAGGGTTAGGGAGTCGATATAGTTTCCAGGAAATACTATGAAAATATTAGTACTAAAAACTGTTTTCTTTGCTGCCAATTTTGTAATGAATGTTCAGTACTAACTCTTTAAGAAGTCTGTAGTAAAGCAATGACAATTGTCAAAATGCTTTTCTATTTCTTTTAATGATGTAGACTGTTCACACTATTTTCAGAACAGAGAATAAACATCTGTGGAGAGCGGTTCTCAAACTTCATTGCATCGTGACTCCCTTCTGACAACAAAAATTACTACACAACCCCAGGAGGGGCGACCAAAGCCTGAGCCTGTCCGAACCCTGCCGCCCTGGGTGGGGTGGGGGGGCCAAAGCCAAAGTCCTACGGCCCCAGGCAGGGGGACTATAACCTGAACCCGCCGCCCAGGGCTGAAGCCCTGGGGCATTGACTTCAGCCCTGGGCGGTGCAGCTCGGGCATCGGCTTCAGCCCCAAGCCTTAGCAAGTCTAACGACACCCTAGCAACCCCGTTAAAAGGGGGTTACGACTCACTTTGAGATCCCGACCCACAGTTTGAGAACCGCTGATCTAAGGGTATCAATAGTACTGGAAGTCACCTACGATATTAATAAGATAAGCTCCAGATTCTTTGATCCCTCTGATGTGTTCAAGCAATGGTTAGAAAGTGAAAGGATACATTTTGGTCTCCCATGTTTCACACAGCGTAGATGAATTAATGCACCGTATTTATTTCGTCTAAAATGTAGAGGTATGCTTATTTTTGCAGAACAAAGTAGTTTATGACAATAAAATGACAAGTAGTTAGCATCTTACACCAAGGAAAACATCTGAAACATTGTATTTCAATTATTTTGCACAGTGTATGAGAGATATCCTAAGTAAGGGTAAGTCATGGGTATGTGTTTATCATGAGATGAAACATGTCTCAGTGTCATATATGCACTGTCAAGCATGAGACTTGAGGTCAAGTACCTACCTTCATTATCTCAGAAGTGTAACTATTTCGTTAAGGACAGTTACCTGTTCCGTAACTGACGTTCTTCGAGATGTGTTGTTCCTGTCTATTCTACAGTAGGTGTGCGTGCTCGCCACGTGCACCGGTGCCGGAAGTTTTTCCCTTAGCAGCATCCGTAGTGGGGGAGCACCGCTGCGACCCCTGGAGTGGCGCCGACATATCGCGCCATAAAGGGGGCTGCGTGCTCCCCCCACCCTCAGTTCCTTCTTGCCAGACAACTCCGACAGAGGGGAAGGAGGATGGGATGTGGAATAGACAGGAGCAACACATCTCGAAGAACGCCAGTTACGGAACAGGTAACTGTCCTTTCTTCTTCGAGTGATTGCTCCTGTGTATTCCACAGTAGGTGACTCCAAGCTATACCTAACGGAGGTGGGTAGGAGTTCTAAACGATAAGTGTTAAGGGTTACTCGGGCGGAGCACCGCCCTACCAAACCCGTCGTCATCCCTTGCTTGGGAGATGATCGCATAGTGTGATGAAAAAGTGTGGACAGAGGACCATGTAGCAGCCCTGCAGATGTCCTGAATAGGGACATGAGCCACATAGGCAGCCGACGAGGCCTGAGCTCTCGTCGAGTGCGCCTTGACAATAGGAGGTGGGGGAACCCCAGCCAGGTCACAACACGTGCGTATGCACGAGGTGATCCAGTGGGAGATCCGTTGGGTGGAAACCGGTTGCCCTCTCATGCGCTCGGCCGTAGCAATGAAAAGCTGAGGGGATTTCCGGAATGGCCTCATTCGGTCTAAGTAAAAGGCCAGCGCCCTACGCACATCTAGCATGTGTAGGCTTCGTTCCTCATTGGAGGAATGGGGCTTAGGACACAGGACTGGTAGAAAAA